CAGATAAAGCCCCAATGCACAACTGCCACGTGGACTTTTCTCATAGGGTGCCAAGTCACAGCGTGCCAACTCATTCTGATAAGGAGTTGTTTGTCACAGACTACAGGGGAAACCAGCGCCATCTTGTAATGGCGGCCACAGTTCACAGAAACGGCTCACCACAAGCTCATACATTTTTTATAAATTTAGGTGCACTGTGAAAGTACTTGCTATCTTTCTACCCTGTATTTAACTTTTGTCAGTCCAGATTGTATGGAGTTCTTATGAAGCATGCATATGTGTTTTGCATTGTGTTTAGTTTAAAAAAAATGCCTCCCTCTTGACTCATTTCTTCTTGCATTACTTTAAATTTATAAAAATAATACAAATCAAATAAACATGAGAATACAATCATGCACATAGATACTTATCTGATATCACTTATGCTTTGTTGATCATATGTATGTTGTAGATTTTAATTTTTACATTAGTATTCTGATGGCATGTTGGAAGAACATTACTTTAGATGAATCAAATATTAATTAAGATAATTTATTTTTAGAAATATGTAATTTCTTATGATACATATATACATAAATACACATCTGTTTCTTTAATTTCAGAAGCTCAGAGTAAATAAATTTACAACAGAAAGTGATTAATATGTTTTGCATTAACATATAAATAGCAATTAAGAAATAATACTTGTTCTAGTTTATTATCAGACTCTTTATCATATTCAACAGCATACTATACACTTATAAATACACATGAGAAATCTTCATTATTTCCATTATAAACCTGTTATAGTGGAAGCTCTGAGTACATTTTTATGTAATGAAAAGGCAGCTATCATCTTGCTTTTGTAGGCAAGAGCAAAGAGGTGACAGTTATTTGGGCCTAGCCATACCGCCTTAAATGTTTTTACTATAACTTGTTCTCATGAGGAAGAAAGCTTGAAAGAGAGGTAAAGGGCTCTCTCAGCATGTTCCCTTCTGTGTCTGTGTGTGTGTATGGCATAATTACTTTTGTTCAAACCTGTCACTCCTTCTTTCCACCATTTTTCCCTCTGTTCTTTTTTATTTTTCATTTCTTTATATTTTTATTAACATAGTATGAATATTTTCTATTTTTGCTTTTAAAATGGTAACTTTACATGGGTATTCACTCTTAGTGAATCTCAACAGGAGTGAAGATTAATCCTCAGGGATACCTGATGATACAGATTTCCAGGCCTCACATTGAGCAATTCTGATTTAGTATATCAGGGCTGAGTCCCCAGAATCTCGGAACCTCATCCCTACATCTATTGATTCAGAGAATCAAAGAACCACATATTGAAAATGTTTCTTTTCCTTTGGGGCTCTCTGCTATTACTATATATATTAGCTACTGATTCATAGTAATCTTCTTGTTTTAATTGCATACTGTTTTCAACCAACCAATTATCAACATTTTCTCAGAAGCTATGGTCACAGGCAGGTGTAAGTATTTGGTTATAAAGATATTTGCAGATCATTCTTCCACAAAACTATTGTGCTTATTTTGTTTATATTTTTATGATAGTAAATACTGTGAATTAACAACTTTGCTTCAACTATAGGAGAATGTAAAAATACTCCAGGAGAGAAGTGTTGCTTATATCAATTCAGATTCATCTATAGAAGGTAAATTTTATTTCATTTTTAAGTAAGATGTTTAGAAAGTAAATTTTACTTAGAGTAATTTTCCTTTATGGTTATTATGCATTATGTGTCCTTTAAGTCTATAAATTCCAACTTCTTATCTATTTCAGATATTCTGTTCCTATGAGACTTCTCAGTAATAACTTAATTTTCTATTTTACCACGGAGAAAATAATGATTCATATCAATTATTGGGAATCATAACTAACCTATTGCTCTTAGTTTCTTTGTTATATTTACCATATTTATTTATCTATCTTGGTCTACTACTTAAACTCTAGTGTTAACCACATTTTTGTTATGGATATATTAAATAAATTTTGGTAAAAATATTCTACAGAATATTTCATACAGAAATATTTTCTGTAATAATATTTATAGAATATTTTATACAGATATATTTCCTATTTTAAAACAGTTTCTTAAAAAGTATAAAAAGACAGGAATGATTCCTGTATTTATTGGAATATGCACAAACTCTTTCCTTTTGAATTTGACATATGTATGTTCCTAGTTTTTTGTTGAATTTTAATTTTTCTAGATGAATGTCAGAGCATACATACATACTCTAATTTCTTAATATGTAATATTGAAATGAATGAGTGAATACAGAGGGAATTCTGTAGCCTTATCCTGCTTTTGCATATGAGAGATACTGCCATAAGGATGAGGTCTGAATTGTGTGGCAGCTCTTGCCTCAGACACCTAAGGCCATTTACTCCTTTTTCAGCCCAAAATATGTATGGCAGATTCTCCTATTCCTGGAGAGAAAATTCTACCCTCTTTTATTCCATGGGAATGATGCATTTGATATAAAGACTGTTATATCCTATTTAAAATTTTAAAATAATGTTAGAATTAAGCACAATTCAAGTTTCATTTAGAAGTATGAAATAGTAGTTTTATTTATTTTCAGGCAATTATACTCTCAGAGTTGACTGTACACCCCTTCTTTACCAGTTGATGTACAAACTGACAAAAGAGGTATATAAGATCTGTCTTACTATGTTTTCTGATGAATGGATACATGAATAACACTTTTTTCCCTTAAGCTAGTGGCACTTAATTTTAAGTTGGTGACAGAACATGGTTGACTCATATAAAGGACAAACAAAAACAAAACTTTTAATATGAAATTTACTATGTGACATAAATATGAAGATAGTATTTCCAGTCTGTTCTTTCTAATAATAATGCTTATTCATTGTATCCTAACTTATAATGTATAGTAGTAGGCTCAATATTAATCTGACAGAACATTTTGTTACACTGAAAAGAACATTGAACTGCTACAGAAAAATTTCAGAGTTCAAAAAATTGTGTTTCCCAGCAACTCCTTTCATACAACAAATATAAATTGGGTGGTTACTTTGTCAGGTCTCATAAGATAAAGTTTGGCAGCAACAATGATAAAAGTAGAAGACCATCAAAACTAAAAACTTTGAAAGCTAGAGAGGACACAGACTCACCATTTTGCCCTGGCTGGTCTTGAACTCCTGGGCTTGGGCAGTCCACCAGTCTCAGCCTCCCCAGAAGCTAGAACTGTAGGAATACCATTGTGCCTGGACCCCAGATTGTTTCTAACCTGAGGACTTGGTACTGAGGATTGAACCCAGGGGCACTCAACCACTGAGTCACATCCCCAGCCCCCTTTTTGTTATTTTATTTAGAGACGAGGTCTTCATGAGTTGCATAGGGCCTTATTAAGTTGCTGAGGATGGCTTTGAACTTGCGATCCTCCTGCCTCAGACTCCCAAGCCATTGGGAATATGGGCTTGTGCCACCATGCCCAGCAAATATATAGTTTCATAATGGAATAAATTTAGTTGTTTCTGTTCTTAATCACCAGTATTTGATTATCTTTCTAGATGTCTAGCCCAGATGATGGTTTTGAGAGTAAATCACTTTATGAAAGCTGGTTGGAAAAAGACCCTTCACCTGAAAATAAAGGTTTTCCTAGATAAATCACTTACATTCATCTTTTCTTCCATAAATTCCCCTCTGCCCCACATTTCCCCAAACATGTAATCCTCATATGTATCATCAATAATTGGAGTGAATTTTTTAATGAGTATATATGTTTCATTTATTCTGATTTGTTATACATGATGGCAGAATGCAATTCATTTCATATTATACATTTAAAGCACACTTTTCTTTTTCTTTTTTTTTTTAAAGAGAGAGTGAGAGAGGAGAGAGAGAGAGAGAGAGAGAGAATTTTTTTAAATATTTATTTATTTTTTTTTTAGTTCTCGGCGGACACAACATCTTTGTTGGTATGTGGTGCTGAGGATCGAACCCGGGCTGCACGCATGCCAGGCGAGCGCGCTACTGCTTGAGCCACATCCCCAGCCCTAAAGCACACTTTTCAAGACACTGATTGTACACAGAATATTTTCACACCATTCATGTCTTATACATGTACTTAGGGTAATTATGTCTAACTCATTCCACCATCATTCCTACCCCATTGCCCCCTCCTTTCCCCTCCCTCCCCTTTGCCCTATCTAAAGTTCCTCCATTCCTTCCATGCTCCTTCCCCCAATTGCCATTATTCATGTGTATCCTCATATCAAGGAAAACATTCAGCTTTTGGTTTTTTGGTGTTGGCTTGCTTCACTTAGTATTATATTCTCCAACTTCATTTACCTGCAAATGCCATGATTTTATTCTCTTTTATTGCTGAGTAATGTTCCATTGTGTATATATACCAACATTTCCCAATCCATTCATCTACTGAAAGGTATCCGAGTTGGTCCCACAATTTAGCTATTGTGAATTGTGGTGCTATAAACATTAATGTGGCTGTGTCCCTGTAGTATGCTATTTTTAAGTCCTTTAGGTATAGACCTAGGAGTGGGATAGATGGGTCAAATGGTGGTTCCATTTCCAGTTTTCCAAGGATTCTCCATTCTGCTTTCCATATCAGCTGCACTAATTTGCAGTCCCACCAGCAATGTATGAGTGTACCTTTTCCCCCACATCCTCACCAAAACTTATTGTTGATTATATTCTGAATAGATCCATTCTGACTGGAGTGAGACAAAATCTTGGAGCAGTTTTTATTTGCATTTCTTTAATTGCTAGAGATATTGAACATTTTTTTTATAAGTTTGTTGATTGATTATATATCCTTTTCTGAGAAGTGTCTCTTCAGTTCCTTGGCCCATTTATTGATTGGGTTATTTGTTATTTTGGTGTTAAAGTTTTTTAGTGCTTTATATATTTTAGAGATTAGTGCTGTGATGTGCTTGTGGGAAAGAATTTATATGTCCTAGAGATTAGTGCTCTGATGTGCTTGTGGTAAAGATTTGCTCCCATTCTGTAGGCTCGGTATTGACCTCACTGATTGTTTCTTTTCCTGAGAAGAAGCTTTTGAGTTTGAATCAATCCCATTTATTTTTTCATGGTTTTAATTTTTGAGCTACAGGAATTTTATTAAGAAAGTTGGGCACTTCTCAGAGAAGGATATACAATCAATCAAAAAATACACGAAAAAATGCTCACCATCTCTAGCAATCAGAGAAATGCAAATTAAAACCACTCTAAGATACCATCTCACTCCAATAAGAATAGCAGCTACTATGAAGTCAAACAACAACAAGTGCTGGCGAGGATGTGGGGAAAAGGGTACACTTATACATTGCTGGTGGGACTGCAAATTGGTGAGGCCAATTGGGAAAGCAGTATGGAGATTCCTTGGAAAGCTGGGAATGGAACCACCATTTGACCCAGCTATTCCCCTTCTCAGACTATTCCAAAAGACCTAAAAAGAGCATACTACAGGGATACAGCTACATCAATGTTCATAGCAGCACAATTCACAATAGCTAGACTGTGGAACCAACCTAGATGCCCTTCAATAGATGAATGGATAAAAAAATGTGGCATTTATACACAATGGAA